ACCTGTGCCCCGATGGCGAAGAGGACTGCGCGAATTTCCTGCAGACAATGTCGGATGTACATGAGCTTAAGAGTACACGGGCAGTTCTCTCATAAGATGCTTGAGATGCTTGCGAAGAAAGATCGCTCAGAATACGACATTGTCGGTGTACGTCCCCACAGCCACGCGCGTTTATTTGTAACGCTTGCCACTGGCGGCACCGTGGCATGTACAGCCTACTAGCACAGCTCGTGCAGAGGCCCTAAGGCGACAGAGCTGGAAAGTAAACTGGCCGAGCGTGACCGCGGCGTTGAGTGAACTCATTCATATAGATTACCAGGCTCACGTTGCTTGGCACGTTCTTCCGCTAACTTCTACAAAACTACATGCTGGAACCGGTGACATTGAGGTCCGCTGGGCGGACCACGCGAGTGTGTGACATATTCTGAATTCATATCTTACTATGGACGGTATTAGACACCACCGAGAAGTTTATGGTACTGTACACTTGTTTATTCCGTTTTCGAGGGCTATACCGTGACCGGAATGGGTAACGCCAGCCATCCAAGCGGCCGAGCGGTCTTTCCATGAGGTTCTCTGCCCGCGCATAAGACCTCTGTGCATTTCGAGTGTGCGGCGCGCCTTGATTTAGTGCGCGAAGGAGCCGACCGAGGTGCTGTACGGTATGTCATCAAGAGTTTCTGTACTAGGATGATAGTACGCGAATGCTCACCGTGTTCGCTCCCGGTCAGAGATAGCGTATGGAGGTATCGGAGTAGCCAGGGTTCAGGTGCCACAGTCGTTCTCTCTCCCTAGCATCCGGAATTCGGAAGGCGGATATCTTCTCGAATTTAACGTAGTCCATACCAGAACGGCGATCCACGATATTTCCCAGCACCCAACACTCTAGGCCAGCCATCCCGACCACAGAATAGTTGAGCTTGGGATCGAAGGGAGGGCCTAAAGTTTCCACAAGGAAAGGCGCGGTCTTGTAACTATCACCCGCAAGTTGCTGCTGGGAGAGTGGGCCGAGGAGAGCGTGCATACGTATGCCACCTTCCCCAACGGTAAATTTGCAGTTCTCAATGACGTACGCGCGGTTCCAATATACGACATTAAGACCTGTTGGAGACTCTCCGACCGAGAAATAGTCGAGCAGCTCGCCCTCTGAGTATTCGACAGACGGAGTACTCGAGGGTATCGCTTTCCCGCGTTCCTGTATAAGCTGAGACCACGAAGGACGCCACTTAGCACCCGGAACATCCCCGGCCACAGGACAGAGGGCAAGGAGGTCGGTGAGGTGTTTGCGCGACATCTGTTGCACGAGTTGACTCCAGGCCTCTTCGCAGCACCGCTCTATGTCGTACATCGGCAGAGCGGGACACTTCAAGAGGAGTCCTAGCGCGCTGACGCGGTCGATGTCGTGAGTGGATCTGCGGTTTTGTAAGGCCTTGGCCAAGGCAAATAAGTCTGGAGGATCCTGAGATAGCACGTTCAGCAGATTGCAAATGCGGGCGTGGAAGATCGACGGGTAGTCCAGGTGGTCCTTCCGAATCAAATACTTTTCGGGTCTTAGCCCTCCGAGCAACCAGTTAGCGGAGGTCTCCTGCATCGTCCAGACTCGATTGTGCCAGCTCCTCTCCCCAGAGAACATCTCTGAGGTCACGCAGAAAGGTCTGCCGAGACCGCTGAAATATTTGATGACCACTTGCGATCGCTTGCACCGGTAGACATGTCCGATAGTGGGGACGTCGAGTTTCCACTCCTCCTGCCGCAGCGCTTCGGTGCGCTTCCACCTATCGGGGTTCCAGCCGAGCTGGAGGTACACTTTATCCTCCACCTGTTGCCTCAGGCAAAGCACGTCCAGCCAGACGTACTCGGCGCCTAGGTTCAGCAGCTCGATGCGTACGTGGTCGAGCTCGACGTCGTAAGGGATAGGCAACGGCCACTCGAATCCGTTGACACGTGTTTGGACGAGCTTCCGCTGATCGATATCAACCCAGCTATGTGAAACAGCCCAAACGTTCGCCGGTATGTCGGTGGAGAGAAGGACCCAGAAAGGGAGGACGCGGTTGCTGTACAGGTCCCATACACGACGTGGCGGGGTGCGAAGCTGGACGATGAGGCCTCGCTCAGGATCGATCGCCTTCTGTCGCATCTCAGAGTCTTGACGTGCACCTCTCTCCAAACGGTCCTGTAAACGATCCACGTCACAGAACCACCCGCGTCGAATCTCTCCATACGCCCTTCCGAAGTCACAGTCGGGCCTGCTCACGTAGCAGTCGAGTAGGGAGGACAGGCATTCATTGAGCTGATACTTTGTGCCGAGAACCTCGTTGAGCCTCTGCAGAAGACCAGGGACGCCAAGAGACGAACACGGTGTGTCCGCAAGGTCCTTCAGTATCGCGCCTGTGCCGTCGAAACGTTTCTGGAGGGGACATGGTGGATCATGATCCTCAGGCGCGACAGAGAACAGATAACCTTCCGGGAACTGTTTGAAAGCAGAGAAAGGAGTCGACGAGGACGAGTATCTCATCATATCTGCTAGCTTCCAGACGCCCTCTAGGGACCCGGCGCCGTAACAGGGCTGGCTGTCTTTTCTCTGCATCCCTCCGGGGCCGTGCATACTGGGAGCCTTGCAGTGGAGTCCGAAGATGGTACGTAGTTCAGGAGGAACTTCTTGAGGCATTGGAAGCTGTGGGGCATTTTGCGGAGCAGCACCCTTAACAGGCTTCTGGAGATGCCTCCACAGACCGAGAGACGTCAACGGACGAGGGGGAGGTTGGAAGTCCGGGGGCCTGTTGTAGCCTACATTCGCATCGGGAGATGCTGCGAAAGAGTGCAAGGGGGACACGTCATCAACGACACTAAATGATGGATAGTCAGGGACAGGTGCCTGTTGATCTGTAGGAGCTCCCGAGGGCCTGTTGAAGTAGCCTATATCGTTGAGAGGTGCCCCGGAAGAGTGTGGGGAAGGAGAAGAGGAGTCATCAACGACGCTAATTGAAGGATAGTTGGGGACAGGAGGCTGGCGATCTGCGGGAGCCTCCGCGGGTATGCTCTGTGGAGGTGTAGTTACGCGGGGCGTGACCATGACCAGAGGGGAAGGAGAGTTTTGGTACGTTCGATCTGCTGTGTAGAGCTCCATAATCGGATTGAAGTCTTCATCTTCGCCCGGAGAGCACGGAGAGGATGGCGGAGTAGGGAAAGGAGACTTGCCACGGTGTATCGCTGGCTGCGCTTGGGCTAGAGGGGCGGCTGGCTTGAGCTCGTTGGACCGTAACGGCGCAGGCTGGGCAGAACGAGAAGAAGGTCGACTGAGGTCATCGATGGGCGGTGTCGGGAGGACTCCATCACCCGAACTCTCTCGATTCTGCAGGTTGGTTGGCTTTCTATCGGGAGCCTTCTTTCCGTTGGTGATAAGTGGCTCTGGGGGCGAGCTAGGGAAATCAGTGCTGGCGGAAGGATGGTGAGGAGGATTTGTCTGGTAGGATCCCGTAGCAATCCCTGGCCGCGTAGACGGCGCAGGCGTTGGTAGTTGTGGGACCGCGACGGGAAGCTTGGGTAAAGGACGGCCGTTGAACGAAGCTTTGTGCGTCAAGTATTTGGGGTCTGCCTGGGGAATACGATCTTCGTCTTTGGGCCGGGGCCTACCGGATGAGTGAGCTGGTGGAGGGACGACGGAGACTTTGGCATTACGAGAACTCTCCGCTTGGTTGTATGCAGGGCTCTCAAATTTGTCCCGAGATGGAGAATGCGGTCGGGGAACAGGTCGGTGAATGATGGGAGGGGGATCGTTGCCTGGGGGCACTGGCTTGGGCAGGCATCTCAGGTTTGTTTCCAAGCCGTGTCCGCCATCAGAGGAAGGGGCATCTGGAGAATCGCATGGAGTAGACACAGGGGAGTCGCCTGAATCGCTGGTGCCGTAGCCTGAGTCTACTCGCTCTATTACTTTGGAAGGAGAACTTGCGGACAAATTCGATGTCAAATGAATCGGTCTCGAGGGATGGACCTGAGGCGGTGGATTGAGAGAGCGTAACAGCGAACTCTGTGGGGCCTGCTGGCGTGTCTCAGAATACTGTGGAGAGTTCGGGGGCGGTTGGGTCATGGTGACTAGGATAAGATCAGTAACGGTGAGACGGGATTCCCTAGACAGCTCACGTTGAACAACTCGACCAGGGCCACAGAGACGAGTAGCGGAGGCAGGCTAGGCTGGGCGGCACTCCTGGCGATACTAGGATCTGCCTGAGATCGCTGAAGTCAGTGCGGGGACGAAAGGCCAAATGGGTCCTTCCGATTTAGGACCAGGGGAACGGAAGCTCGCTGTTACGGTATCAAACCTAAGACAGCTATGGCATGATAGGCCCTCAGTGTGATTGAGCGAGGCCGAATCTATGAACTCTGCAATTAGAAGACGGCAGTAAGCACTTATGATGCCGCTCGCCTGGTGGAAACATTAGCTAAGATTGTTCATTTTTCAAATATAGCCCTACTTTTCTAAATTGGCAGCCTACATCATAGTCTGCGCCATCACGAGCTGGTCGGCGAATGTTAACCTGAGTTCTCGAGAAATGCTTAAGTGTCCCTCCAAAAGAAAATAGCACGAATAGCATAGGGCGCAGAAAGATGGACGAGGCAAACTGCGTGATGCGAACTGCGAGAAAGGGTCTATTGAGGCTTCACACAGCCCATACCCTATATGTCGTCCGCCTCTCACGTTCGTGGGGACGTCCTAGCTTATCGGGGCAGACATGTGCGCACAACATACGCAGACATTCAGTGAGAATGTACCATCCCTGCCGTTCCTTGTCTCATCGCCAGTCTGGTCGCACAAAGCGAGCTCACCAAAGTTGATGCTGCAGAAAATGCATATTGCAGCGTACCAGCCGACCAATGAATCTGCGGAGAGTCTATACGCATTATGGGCCTATGATATGATAGGCATGACTCAGCTCTACCATGTTACTTCGCGACCGCCCTTCGGAACGCCTCCTCTTCCTCGCGCTCCACATGTATCTGTGCTTCGGTCTTCCCTTTGCGTGAACGTAACACACGATCTGACTTTACTGGGGGTGCAGCAGCTGTGCGTGCTCGCTTGACTGGTGAGGCTCGCACCGGCTCGTCTGCCTCGGACTCGGCAGAGCCGTCGTCGTCGTCCCGCCCGCGCTTACGCCCGCGCCGGGCGGGCTGCTTTCCGGTGGAAGGTCTCCCATTGGAAGTCTTCCTGTTCGCCGCCTCGCCATTCGTCTTCGCAGGGGTGCTTGTCCCACCGCGGCTCGGCCTAATATTCACTCTCGGGGTGGCAATATGAACGGCAGGCACCGGTAGTGTCTCTACTGCGGACGCGTCTGCGGTGTTCTCCTGCACATGAGTGTGCGCTGCCGCTAGCTCGGCCATGCTCTTAATCACGCCCCCAACTGGCGTATGCGTCTCGGGTACCTGCACTTCTTCAAGTGGTTCATCATCTTCTTCGATGTCGTATGTCTCCAATGTAAGCTGCGACGGCGACCGAGGCGTTATTACATTGACTTCGTCACGAGTATTTCCTGAGCTTTCAGCCCTGACCTCGGTTTTATCGGAAACGACAGCGTGTTCTGGAAGCACTTCGTGAAAATTACGCGGTAGCGTGTACGGCTTGACGACATCGTCTGCGGTAGTTAAGAACCCGCCTGCCTCTTGAGTCTCCTGTGCCTGAATCCAATCAGTACGTACGAATGAGATAAACCCTAACAACACCGACCTGGTTTTCTGGTGTGGGTCCGCTAGCTGCATGCCGCGGCTCGCCGGGACCGGCGTACTGCTCTTGGACTCGCTGGCGCACACGCAAACCTTGAATGAGGCGTTGCCATCGTTTGATGACTTGCTCCTGCTCCTTCGTCCGCCGCTTCTTCTCCGCCTCTTGCTCGGCTTCCCAATACGCCTGCAGCGGAAAGCAATGAAATGAATATATATCAGATTAATTGTGCGAGGACAAGCGCACCTCGAGAACGGCCTGTTCATTCTCGGCGGCGACGACAATACCAGTGATGACTGGGAATGCGCGACGTTTTTTGAACTCGAACCCGGTCTGCTCGCGTGGTGTTAATTCTTTCCAGTATAGAGAGGGTGAGGCACTTACTACAGCCTCAGCATGATCGAATCCAAGCTGTAGAGCTACCTTCGCTGCGCCTTTATCTGGAGAATGAAATAGATATAAGCCATCTATCAACCATCAACAAATATACCATACGTACGAGGAATATATGCGGCGCCAGCTGGAAGCATGGTTGGCACGTAGAGATCAATGTTCCCGAAGTCGTTCTTCGGGATTTTGCCCTGAGCATTCATGTCAGTAACTAGCTTCGTCTAGTAACAAAAAATGAGCACATACATCAACGACAGGATCTGGAACATATAGTTCGGTCTGACTCTGCGCGTACAAACCCTGCATGATGTCCTTCTCGCTCGAGAAGCCCTCGCCCTCGCCCGCAATAGGCAAGCGGTCGCGCTCGGCCAATGCCATCTCGACTGCGCGCCGTTTATTCACAGTGACAGCGTTCTGCTTTACCCACTTCATGGGCTGACATCCTTCGCGGACCTTGCGTCCCTGCCTCATCCAGTTCTCAGCCGCCTTGAGCGCTAGCACGTTCGCACGCGGGTACACCGACTCGCCGCGGAATTTTCCAAGCTCAACGAGAGGATAAACAACCTCATCGCGCCTAAGGTGTCTTTCGAGGACATACAGCGGATGGTTCTTGAAGCCTGCCATAGTTTCCGGCATCTTCTCTGTGAGCTGGTTGGTTTGTAGTTCTTCATCTTCCAGGTCATCTCGATTCTAAGCATCCTCGTGTCAGCGCTCCTCGGTGGAAAAGGGAGATGCAGGTGCTCACCAATCTGAACGGCCTCGTAATGATACGCATGACACTCTCCCACCACTCCTTCTTGCCCTTGCCACCCTGCTGCATCTTTGTAACCTTGGCGCCGTATTCCTTCGCATAACGGGGAGTGACATCTCTTGAATAGCCATCTTCCTCAAATGCGACGACGTAAACCATGCGATTTTCTACCCTTGTGCCTTGCGGACTGTTGATGGGCAAAGAAGGGTCGAACGCGCCTCGCTTGTTGACATATCCCCGCACTGGGTCTACAGGCAGCCACTTTGCGTCAGCTCGTGAGAAAACCTCAGTCCAAAAGACGGGTGCAGATCTCGTCGGGTCGGGCGTGCGATCACCTAGGCATGCGTCATTTAAGAAGCAGGACAATAGGAACGAAGTCTGTTACATACGCTTCTTCGGTGGCTTGATCGGCGCAGAGCCCAATTTGCGACCTTTGCTCTTACGCAGATTGATAACCGGAGGAGCTTTCTGTTTTCCCTTATCTGAGCCGGCAGGGGTGCTGCTTCCGTCGAGGCGTTGACCATTCCCCAGAAATGCCTTGCCCGGAGTTGGAATGTCCACCTGTTCCATGTCGCCTTCATCGTCGTCATCTTGGGTCGCCTTCTGCTTCCCTTTGGTATCCTTCTTCTTATCTTTTTTCGGCGACGGCTTTGGCTGGCCAACCTTCGCCTGCCATGGCACGCTCTGCAGGCTCACGACAAGCCGTGCAGGGATTCCAAGGGCTCTGCATAGCGCGGTGAACAGCTGAGCACTCGTGTCACGCGAGCCCTTGCGCATGAGGGCGTGTTTCATCAAGCTCTTCTCGTTCCGGATAACCTCCCCCTTGTCCTCCTCCTCGTCGACGTCTCTCACCCGCCCCTTGCCCTTCCTGTCAGCCTTCCGCATGGCTTCATTTCGTGCTAGCTCCTCTTGAACCTCTTCAAAGATGCGGCTGCGAATATGACCGGTGGGAAGCACGGTGAAGAAGTCGATCCACCAAGTTACAAGACGTTCTACGGCGGACTGGAACATGTATCCACGTACTGCGGCGTCCGGAATACGGGATTTGTGAAGCCCGGCAAAGCCATTCTGGAGACTGATCGGTGTCAAAGACATGAGTCGAGCCTAGAAGAACCGTTAGTCACCGCAGATAGTTCGTATATGCGATATCATACGTGCAATAGCTGGTCGTTGATCCACTTGTTCCTGGTCCGCGCATTGGCAAGCAAGAGCAGTGTGTGGGCTTTGTGGCAGGTCAAGCGCGTGATACGAGCAGCGTATAGCTCTGCGGCTCTCTTCCTAAGCAAAACGTAAGTGCCAAAAACTCTAGCTCAAATAACGGGCGCACTTTGCGGTATCATCCTGCTTGGGTTTCGTCCGGATAGTGATCTCAATGTTGGGGGCGGGAGTGGACGAACCAGAAGGTGCTTCGCTCGGAAAAAGAGATATGTTTCCCTGGTCCTGCAATGGAACCTCGACCTCTTCCCAATCAAAATCGTCGTCACTCTCGCTCCCGATTACCGGACTCGATTCTGGCTGCATAGCGGATGCCTGTGAAGACGTTTACCCTAGGACAAGAGGTCTGAGGCGCGACCGAAGAAGTGAAGAGCGGTGCAGGGAGGACAAAGGAAAGCCGGAAGAGTGAGTGAAGGTGGGAGAGCCGAGTCAACGCGACAAAGGCGTCGGACGCGAACCAAAACGCGCTCATTTGCTGACTCAGCTGCTCGTGTGAGGGTGAGGCCGGTTTTCCCACGCTCACGTGCGGCACTCTCGGTCTCGCTACTACGCTTGCGTCGCCCTTCGCAAAATATCCTGGTGCCCATACAAATACACGCATCCTGTAAAAACATACGGCAGCTGATGATCAATTGATCTCTGACGCCTTTATTCTTCTCCAACAATCACGACGCTTTTCCCACGGTTCTTGCCCTGCCAGACGTCCCGAATGGCATCTCCTGCCTGCTTCAGCCCCTGCTTCGCGTCCTCGAGGTACCTGATTTCGCCGCTCGCGACCTTCTTTGGGACTTCTCGGTAAAATTCCTCAGAGTACTTGGGCAAAAGGGTGTTGATAGTGAAGCCAAATAGCTTCAGCTCCTTCTTGACTATCATGAATAGGTTCTTCATCGTGTAAGCCGGCCCACTGAGCTGCGCAATCATGCCGCATTCCTGTCGCAAAAGTCAGCATCCAGTCTCTACTCAGAAGTCGCACAACTTACAATGAAGCGCGCTCCATTCGCTGCGTTCTGTAAAGCAGCATCTAGAGCGTCAGCCCCGACGTTGTCCCAGTAGCTTTCGCTAGAAGTTAGTCGAGGGCGATAGACGTGACAATAAACGGCACCCACATGTTAATGGGCCCCTCTTTCTCAAGCACATCAAATACGCTAGTCGTCTTGTAGTTGAACGCGACGTCAGCTCCAACAGTCCCGGTTAGCTCTCGAACTTTCTCATCCGAGCTCGCGCAGGTAATAACTTTACAACCGGCCTGCTTTGCCAGTTGGATAACCATGGACCCTACGGGACCCGCTCCCGAGCTCACGAAGACAACATCACCTTCCTTCGGCGCCGCATGTTCCTTCCAGCCGACCCAGCCTGTTTGTCCAGGCATTCCACAGATGCCAACATAGACGGACCACGGGAGCTTCTCTTCGTTCTTCAGCACCTTGTAATTGTCAATCGCTGGCAATACGTTATACTCCTGGAACGCTTTATGGATAGCTATGAGTTCAATTGGTAGGAATAGTCTGGCGTACGAAGACTCACGAATAAATCCGTAGAGATGTTCTCCAGGCTGGACAGCAGGATTCTCCGACCGGAGAATAAGTCCTACACCATAATAAGAGATTCTGGAAACATCTCAGTCGATGTTTGGTTCAGAGGGTTGTGTGAACACTGACAACTCGCCCTTAGAGAAAGCAAAACCTGGAATGCCCAGGTCTTGCATCCGACCAACGAGGTACGGATCAATCCCGACAACCAGAGTCTTGACAAGGACACCACCTTCCAGCGCCACCGTCTCGAGATCGATAGTCCGAGATTCATCGTACACCGTTGTCTTCCCAGGCTCGGGGTAGTCTGCGAAAGGTGTATATGTATGTTGTCATCGCGATGAGACGAGTGGTACGGACCCGTGGGGAACTCTCCAAAGAAAAGCCTTGCATTCCTTGTTGGTGCCATGGTCGCGAACAATGTATCCCTGGGGGTCGCTGAACACAATGAGGCTGCCCTCACTTGGCTTTAACAGGGTATCAGCCGGCGAGTCGACGCGTTACTTGAGGGAATGCGATGGCGGCACACATGCCCTAATCCTCGACCAGTCTCAATCAAGCGTATCGATACCGGCTAAGACATGCTCCGCTTACTAATGCTTTGAGCGTGGATTGCAGTTGTCGTTGACCTTGGACCCCGGAAAACGGTAGTGAGCACACTCCCCTTTCCCAGGCCATATAAGTCTGTTTCTGCGGTCAGGCTCTTATATTTCGACTTTTCTACAGTGCCTGATATTCTCAGAGGGAAGTTCAGAAACCTGTAGGAGTTCCTGCGCCATTGACCCCGGTGTCATCAGTTCATTGAGAACACAGCAGACTGACCTGCTTCGGCGTAGATTCCCTAGCGCGCGCCAGTTGTCTGGAGTTGGAGTGGCAGAACATGCCGCCACTATACAAGCGTTTCGGGTAAGGGCGTCATCTGTATTGCGACAGGACTACGGACATGCTAAACTAACCCAAAGTCAGCACAGCCTCATACTGAATATGCCAAGGAAGTAGAACCTTTATTGTCATCTGTGGCCGGTCAAACACCACCAATCTTTTCTACCGCTCCAGAAGCGGTGCCAGAAGCCTCCCCAGCGCCCCCCTTGTAGAAAAGCTTCTGCATTACTAAGTAAACGGCAGTGTTGGCAACTGCTGCACATAGCGCTGGTTGAAGGAGGCCATCAGAGATCACGCTCTGGACGAGCCGTTCACCACTCCAACTCTTCACACTGACGACTCCTAGAGGCAGCGCGATGAGCCCGACAATGAGCTGTTTGGCATGCAAAGCTTTCGGGGAGAGAAGGTTGGGTGCCCTGCTCCTACCATCACCTGGACCCACAAATGCGCGCAACCGATCGGAGTCCAGAACAATCCCGAGAGCAGTGAGGAACCCGACGACGGATCCGTAAGTTGCCCCCAGGACACCAGAGCCGACAAGCGTAACGCGAGCGTAGTCTAGCAATGTCTTCAGTTGAGGATAAAGCACGCCACCGGTGCGGATATGTTGCGACGCGAGCGCGAGGCCAAAGGTCGCAGGGGCGCCGAAAACGGTGGTGCCTGATGTGATAAGGCCGATGAAGCCGGCGGAGTAGACAGTGAGGCCTGCGGTGACTGCAACAACAGTGGCGCAATGACTTGTGAGATTAATGAGGGATCCTATGAAGGAATGGCTCGCGCCGTCGGACCCGACTGGCCCTGGCATTCTTTAGACACTATTATCCCATGGATGAGACTATTGAGCTTCCGGCTGCAAGAGAGATTCAACACCAACTTACCCGACACAGTACGCGGTGGTGAGAAACAAGGCTGGTCTGACTCTCGAAAATGCTACATATGGGTTATCTAAGGCGCTCATTAAGATCGGCGGAATCCGGAATCCGGAACGTCCGGGACGTCCAACTCAAGGACGTCCTCGAATTACCGGGGACATCAAACTCTCGGCCGCATACTTCAGTCCTTGCTCTCGACTCGGGATTCCGCTATACACAACCTCAGTAGGCCTTCGTATGGGGGAGCAGCTTTGTGCATCATGGTAGGTGACAAGGCCTGGATGAATATTTTCACAGACAGCTCGGGCACACCTCCGAAGATTGTATGCCGTGCTCTATTTGGCGCATCGATTAAACAGGTCGCAGACACCGAAACATGTTACTGACCATCGGAGAAGATGAAATCTACAATCCTCCCCTATATGAGAGCATGCTAGCGGGAGTTTCAAACGTCGGGAAGCGTTGGAAAGTGTCTCTGGTAATTATGGGTGCATGCATATGTTTGATCGTGCCCTATTTGGCGCATCGATTAAACATGTTGCAGACACCGAAACATGTTACTGACCATCGGAGAAGATGAAATCTACAATCCTCCCCTATACAAACGGAGAGTTTGGTTCGCCGGGTGGATTCGCTCCTTTATAAGAGCTACAGCAGATGCTAGCACTCCCGCACGACAAAGATTATAAGTACCCTCGAGATTGTAAGTGACATACGTGCCTTAGCGTGTGTCGTTAACGAACACAACGTTGCAGTAACGGCCATGACAGAGGACACCTCGCCATATGCCTTTGGTCAAACAGACAGCATTGTCGAGCAGTTCAGTAAACGAACTGTCAATAACTCGGCTGCGTATCTCAAAGGTTCGCTCGAGTCACATATGAAGATCCTAGACGTTGGCTGTGGGCCTGGCACTATCACGATAGACCTAGCGAGGCACGTACCTCTCGGGCACGTCACAGGCATCGACACGGAGTCAGCGAGCGCGACTCTAGACAAAGCTCGTGCACAGGCCGCGAACGAAGACGTACAGAACGTCGAATTCCGCGTCGCCGATGGTCTCGCGCTGCCGTATGCCGACCACACCTTCGACGTAGTGCACGCCCATCAAGTCCTGCTGCATGTCAATGATCCAGTTGGTCTCCTCACTGAGATGCGACGAGTTACGAAGCCAGGGGGCATTGTCGCTTGTCGCACATGGGATGATGGCACTATGATGGTCTACCCACACAGCGAGAGGATACTACAGACGCACGGCCTATACCAGCGTGTGATGGAGGAGTGGGGTCGCAACTTGAAAGGAGGGCGCTACATGCACGTCTGGGCGCGTAAGGCTGGCTTCAAGCCGTCTAACATCAAGGTTACGTCGAGCAACTACACGAACTACACGCCTGCGGAGCGCAGATATTGGGCGGACATGATGATCAGTGTGTTGAAGGAATCGCCGATCAGGGCGGCGGCGCTGGAAAAGGGGTACGCAACAGCAGACGACTTCGAGGCGACGAAGGCGGCGTGGGAGGAGTGGGAGGCCAACGAGGATGGGCTGTGCGTAGGTGTCAACGAAGAAGTCTTGTGTAGGGTGTAGATCCGGTCCTCCGGACATTCTCTCGCTAGTGCCTGAATTTACATACACAAGCTTTTGGGGTTTAGCTTGCAATTCACGACAGAAATCCGGGGTAGAGGACAGGCGCCTGTGGTGTCGGTCACCGCCGGCGTCTACGATGCGCACCGACTCTACTCGCTGCCTTTCGGCTCATCCAAGACGACGCCACGAAGCTGCTCCCTCTGTTCTTTGCTCCACACTGCGACAGTTACCGACATGTCCCACCCTTGCCGCCTTTCCTCTACGGTTGTTGACAATGGCTACCTGGGCAATGTCGGCAACATACTCGAAGGCCGGAGAACTTCGCTTTGCTGCCGGTCATTACCTGCCTCGTTCGCGAATCGTAAATGAAATAGCCCGTGGCCGAGAAGATCTACTGCCGTCATTGCTGCCCCCCGCGTAGTATGGGAACCCCACGCGCCACTGGCAAGCAACGTGCAACTCAGGGTGTTTGGTGTTGAAATGTTCGGACCATAGCTGCTCGTCTGTGACGAAAAGCCTTATACGGCCTTACAAAGGTATGTTCTGTCTTTAAATGGTAAGTTTGTAGCCGACCCTGCGCCTGTTCAAGTATATAAACGCGCTTTGTGAGCTGGCGTCGCTGGATTCCACCCACCCACCTTTCCGCTCCTTCGTCATCATGGCTTCTTCTGCCGTCGTTACGACCTTTAACCCCACCCGCGCGTGGTGGAAGTCAGCCTGCATCTACCAGATTTACCCCATCTCGTTCTTTGACTCTAACGGTGATGGCATTGGCGACCTCCCCGGTATCCTTGCCAAGCTCGACTACCTCAAGGATCTTGGCGTCGACGTCCTCTGGCTCTGTCCCATCTACAAGAGTCCACTGGCGGACATGGGCTATGATATCGCGGACTATGAGAGCATCGACCCACGCTTCGGGACGCTGGAGGATTGGGACAGGTTGCTCGAGGGTGTGCACAAACGTGGGATGAAGCTCCTGTACGTGTCATCGAACCGTGATTCCTGGCCAGCTCATCTGAACATAGTGCAGCATGGACCTCGTCGTCAACCACACCTCCGACCAGCATGCCTGGTTCAAGGAGTCGCGCGCTCTAGCAAGACCAGCCCCAAACGCGACTGGTACATCTGGCGTTCTCCGCGCTACGATGCCGACGGCAACCGCATGCCGCCCAACAACTGGGAGTCCATCTTCTCGGGCCCGGCGTGGGAGTGGGATGAGGAGACCGGCGAGTACTACCTGCACCTTTTCGTCAAAGAGCAGCCGGACCTCAACTGGGAGAACCCCGACGTACGCGCGGCCGTCTTCAAGACGATGCGCTTCTGGCTCGACCGGGGCTGTGATGGCTTCCGCATGGATGTCATCAACATGATTTCCAAGGTGCCGGGCCTGCCGGACGCTCCCGTCCTAGATTCGACGAAGGAGTTCCAGGGCGCGAGCTTGTACTACGCTAATGGGTAAGTTGTCGTCATTTAAACGCTATTTCTTTCGCAGGCTAATCACGGCTCTTGCAGTCCCCGTGTCCACGAGTTCCTCAAGGAGATGAATGAGAAGGTGCTCTCGCGCTACGACGTGATGACTGTTGGAGAGACGCCGTGCACCCATCTTCCTGAGGATATCGCCGCCTACGTCTTCCCCCAGAACAAGGAGCTTAACATGGTTTTCCAGTTCGAGCTCATGGATCTCGATCTCGGTGGCGCGGAGGACAACCTCGAGTCTCTCACCGCTCTCATGCACCGTCAGTGGAAGCTCACGGACATGAAGAAGTGTGTCAGCAAGTGGCAGACGTACATGCGCGAGCACGGCTACTGGAACACGCTGTATATCGAGAACCACGACCAAGCCCGCTCTGTCTCGCGCTTCGGCAACGACACGCCGCGCTGGCGAGCGCTCTCCGCGAAGGTGCTTGCAATGCTGCAGACGACGCAGACCGGCACGCTCTACGTGTACCAGGGCGAGGAGATCGGCATGAAGAACTTCCCGCGAAGCTGGAGCCTCGAGGAGTACAAGGACGTCGCGACGATTAACTATTACAAGCAGGAGCGCACCCGCCGGCAGAAGGAGACGGGCAAGGAAAACCCGAACATGGAGGACATCATCGATGGCTTCCAGCGCAAGGCGCGCGATCACGCGCGCACGCCGCTGCAGTGGAACGCCGCGTCGCATGCGGGCTTCTCGACGGGCACGCCGTGGATGCGCGTCAACGACGACTATGCCGAGGGGTGGAACGTCGAGGCGGAGATGAAGGACCCCGGCAGCGTCTGGCACTTCTGGAAGCGCGCCCTGAAGCTGCGCAGGCAGCACGAGGTCTTCGTCTACGGTGACTTCGTGCTGCTCCTGCCCGACCACGAGCAGGTTTTCGCGTTCGAGCGCACGCTCCGCGGCGAGAAGGCGCTTGTCGTGCTCAACTTCAGCGAGCGCGACGTCTCGGTCGACCTCGGCACGTCTGCAGGGGTCGCGCCCAAGATGCGGGTCGCCCTGTCGAACTATGACGACGTGCTGTCCCAGCCGTTGGGCGGAACTGCCGTAACACTGCGGGGTTACGAGGGTAGGGTGTACGTCTAGAATGGTACCCTGAGAGCGAAGGGTTACCGGGGACATCAAACTTTCGGCCGCATACTTCAGTCCTTGCTCTCGACTCGGGATTCCGCTACACACAACCTCAGTAGGCCTTCGTATGGGGGAGCAGCTTTGTGCATCATGGTAGGTGACAAGGCCTGGATGAATATTTCCACAGACAGCTCGGGCACACCTCCGAAGATTGTATGCCGTGCTATGCCTGGCGTAACGCTATTCTATTGAACACGTCATGTGATCACAAATACGTGGTCGCTGCGCTTTGATCTGACTGCCGAGTCCGCCTGGGAGCGTCTACATAGGGGCAATTGATCGATTCGCCATCTCCCTCATAAGCAGCACAGCGACGAGTATCCGAAAGTGGCAAAGAAAGGCCGATGCCGCCCCGCAGTGCGAGCTTGACGGCGGGAAGGCGCTTAGAGAGCTAGTAGTACCAGGGCGGGTGTTCTTGCCTGACAGTTTGGCTACGCACTGGACTTAGGCGTGCTCGCTGCTGCCCCAGTATCCCTGTGTTCGTGCAGACACCCTAACTTCTCACGGAGGTTGGTGACCTGCAGCATGGCACACTGAATCGCACCCATCCGGCCAGAATCATTGACATCCCTTGAGGCCTCAAGCTTCAAGCTCCAAGAGGCAGCCAGGTACACCGCCGCCATTGACATCTGACTTGTGCGGATGACAGGTGTGCTAGCAAGGTGCCAGCTCTGGGCTCCCTGGTATCTGACACACCCATCACAGTATCAGCCCAAGCGGCAGGGCGAGCACGCCTAAGTTCTACGCGTAGCTAAACCATTGAGCAAGAGCATCTGAATCTGATACGGGTGATGGCGGTGATGGCGGCAGCACGTCACGTCCCTATACATAGAGTATACACGACGAACATTAGGCGACGGCGGTCATTCCAATGAGAAAGCGTGCCGTCGCACCATAAGCGCCCATGTGCCAGAAGCCTGAACGCCTCCTTTCCAGTCAGGTCGTCATAATCACTACAAACCCTATACGCCAGGCAATAGGGAAGTTGAAGTCGGGTCGGACATGCACAACTTACTTATATCTCATATCCATGCAGCCTATCTAAGGCCATAACCGAAGGCGCATCGGTGCGCCTCCCCTATCTGGCGTCGGGCGGCACTGGAGCGCCCGATGGAAGCCACGGAAGTAGCACTACGGGCATCCCCAGATTTCAGGGGGCCCGAAATGTCCCAGATAAGGCATCCGAAATGTAACATTTCGGGAGACTTTCCAGCAACTTTCCCGAGTGCTGAAATGCTCACTTTTCTGTCACTTTTGAGGCAATTTCTCTTGTCGGAAAAGGCTGTCTGTCACGTGCTTTGAAATAAACCTGAAACATCCCAGTTAGGCAGGCTGTACTGGTCATATGAGTGTCCCGGAAATTGCCGGGAAAGCCATCATTACTGATGGCTTTGTAATACATTTCAGGACATCAGGAACAAGCGCTTTCGGAGATTCGGAAATTTAACAGACCAAAAAACTGATGATAGTCCTGAAATACTTTTAAAATGTCTTGAGCAGGTATAATTAAGGCGCTCATAAAATGTATGTAACAAATTACCTTTTATGGTTGCTGAAACTATAGCTGCCATGTCCATTTCAGGCCCATTTCAGGCCCATTTCCTATCTGCCGAAAGGTAAAATATCCTTGTATGTGAAATTGTCCAGG